CGCCGCGGGGGGGGGGGGCCCCGCCCGGTGTCCGCGGGGGCTCCCGGCTCCAGGGAGCGCAGCAGAAAGGCTGCAAGCCAAGCCCCAGCTTGGGGATCATGGAGGCTGAGTCTTGAAAGCCTACGCAGAGCTCCCCCCGCCAACACACACACACACACACACACACACACACACACTCTCTCTCTCTCTCTCTCTCTCTCTCTCTCTCTCCTAGCTGTGCTGCAGGCTTTGTTGCCAAGAGGGCTTGATTTAATAGTCCCACAAGCTGGCACGTCAGGGGTGTTGTCAGGGTGAACCAAAACGCAGCCCCCTCCTCCAGCTGGCCACTCCTGGCATGCTTTTGTCTCCTCCAGGGGGTGAGAGACTTAAAACTGGAGCAGTGCCTCGGGAGGGGTGAGAGGAGGGCCCAGAAACAGCTCTGACTAAAGGAGGTGGTGGGAGAGCAAAGGGAACGAGAGGATGACTGGCTTCCAGGAGCTGCAAGGCAAGGGAAGGATGGCTGGTCTCCAACCACCACCTGCCTTGCAAAACTGACCATTGCAAGGGCTGGCGTCACTGGCAATAGGCTCAGGACTGAAAGAATTGCTCTCTCCAACCTAAAAAAGTCCCGTCCATGCCAGGATTTTAATCTTCATGGTTAAATTTGGGCTTGTAGGTATTTCTGCTGCTTGCTGAACACAGTGTGTCAGACACCTGCATTTGCAGTTAAAGGGCTCTGTCAACACTTCCAAAATGCTCCTAAGATTGACTCAAGCTACCTGAGATCACATATCCCTCCACGGACCTGATGGTTTCCTTCTACAGGAAACTGTGACTGCAGGAGCCAGTTACTAACAAAATGGGTCATTGGGAAGGAAGGAAATTAAGGAGGAAAAAATTCTTTGCCATGGGTACGCCGTACATAACAGAATGCCAGCTGGTGAAGAAGGGGGATCAAAACCTCTCTTTCACTGGAAATGTCACAATGGTACAACTTCACATATTTTTGTTCCAGATCCAAACACTAAATTCCACATAACAAAAGTTTGGGGGAAAATTCACATCACTCAAAACATTTTGTTCTGAATTTACTTTAAAATTTATTTTTTACATATGAAACATCTTTTAAAATGAAAATCAAAACAATACATTTAAACGGTGCCAAAACATTCTCTTCTTACAACTTATTTAATTGCTGCTTTTTCAAATTTTATTCTCTAACTTAAAGTAGTAAGGCAAAACCATTATACCATATGAGCAGCAGCAGCTAGTAGTAAGAAGAACAAGTATACACTAGCAATCTCAATAGAAAAATGGTTGGATTTTTTGGTGGTGGGGAGAGTAGAAAAGTCCATGTGCCAACTTGCAGACCATTTGCTGAATCCCAGCAGAAGTCTCAATAAATCTCTCAGGATTGCGGTTGAAAACCTCAAAGCCAAGAAGGGGCTTGTAAAATATGTTCCATTACTGCTAATGAGCTGTATGTAGGTTTGAAAAAGAAAATTTATACTTTTCAAAGGATGGTTTAATCTCAATTTTTGCTGGAATGTCTGCTCTGTTAAAGGAAATACGATTATTTTTGACCAAACTATTTTTTAATTGTATGTGGGAGAGAAAGCTGCTTAAATTGTCATTCAAACAAAACATATTAAAAAGCAAATTCTTCCTGCTCCACTTGGTAAATGAAAACACTCTCTCTTATCTACTTTTAATTCCTTTGAATTGTTTCCCTAACAGCATGATATTTTTTTATGCCACATATTCATCATGATCAGAACTCTGTGTGTGTTGTTCATTTTTGCTACTCAGAGCATAGCAGGCATTTTAAATTGTGTCTTTCACAGTTGACTTGCATTCCTTGAAAAAACTCCTAGTTTCATGCTGTCAGTCACTGCGTGGTGGCTTGATGGATGCTAGCTGTGCATGCTTGCACCTGTTTTCCATGGTTATATAATTTGGGTGCCAATCCTGTACTAGATCTGCCATTGATTTACATAACCCAAAGGATTGGATTTCTGTTTTTCTGTGACCTCTTGCTCTCCCAGGCCAAGTTATTTTTTCTCCCCAGCTTGATAAATCACATGGCCAGTCTTATGTAAGCCCTCATTAATTTGGATAGAAGTCCAAGTCAGGAGAATCAGGTTCTGAAGTATCAATGCAGGAGCCTGACTTTAGGCTCCTTAAAAAAAACAGAAACAAAAGCCAAAAATATTGGTCATAGTTGTTCATATATATGGCCATGTTGAAGAGTAAGCATGACGTACCTAATGTTCAAATTTGACTTTAAAACTAATCCATTACAAAACATGCATGCTAGCTATTATTTGAATGGTTCTGGGTCATTCTTATAATAATCCCTTTCTTTAAATGAAAACACAGCCTTTCTATTACTTTCCCTTTTCACTAGATGGCTTTTGAGAATGGAGCAATAGGGGCGAGCATGATAGTAGCAATGACTAATGGCAGGAAGAGCTAAGGAGCTGTCCTACATAATAATGTCACACTTGTGATACTATATTTACTATAGAACCTTGATAGTCTGCATAACTTAATATTCACCCTGGAAAAAGTGCCTCTCTCTTTCTCATTAAAAATGTAATAGGAAAGTACTATAGTAGAAACCTCATTACTAAGAATTCACTAACTTTACAAAATAGTGCATGCTGCTGTTCTAACTGGTAGTGCCTTATTAAGTATTAAATAATTAATAAAGCATAGCTGATGATATAGTCCTTTATTATTATTTCACTTAATCCTGGTTTGATCAAAATTAATGATAGCCTTAACACTCACTTTACTTGGAGCAAAATTACAATTTGTCTAACTTGAAAAATTTGGAGGGCAATTTTTTCTGCTGGTTTAAGTAAGTGCAGCTACTTAGACTAAAATGCAATTTCATCTGTTTATGCTAGGAAAGAAACTGGCTCAGTTGTTTTCAATGGCAATTCCAGCAAATGGTAGGAACCTTGAGAAGGTTGAAGCACTTTAAGTATACCTGAACCTGTACTTTCAGTTACTGCTATCTTCCCCCAAATTTATTTGACAACAACGTTTCTATGGTTGTTCTTTAGTTCAAGAGAAAAGATTTCTGCAAGTTGTAGAAGTGTTCATTTATCAATACTGAGCTCTCTGAACAACAAAAACCTTATGTATCCAAAATCACTTAGATGAATCAATCAAATAATACTGACTGGAAAGTTTTAAATCTGGCATTTGTAGTTTCTAGACCAGGGGTGCTCAACTCCAGCCCACCAGCTAGTTATGGCCTCCAGGCCAGTATCATCCAGCTGGCAGGGCTCCCCACAGGTCTGGCAATTTGACGGCAGAGGAGGGTGGCTTCACTTCCTTGCTGCCAATTTTCCATGCCTGTGGAGAGCCCCACCAGCCAGATACATTGGCCCTGCATGATGGATCAGGCACACAGGGCAGCATGGGACCCGATCTTGGCACGGGGCTCAAGATCCTGATCTCAGCACAAGGGTAGGGGGATGGCACAGGGCCCTGAGACCCCATCCGTGTGGGCTGGGTAAAGGCAGCTCAGGGGCAGATCCTGGCACAGGGACTCAGTCCAACCTGCTGACCATCCTTTGCCCTCATCTGGCCCACAAGCCTGTAGCAGGACCAAGGACCCAAGTGTGACTATACTACCCCTTGGTGGCCAATGGACACTGCCTTAACCTGATTCTAGGTACCCTTCCCTCCGCTCTCACCTGCCAAGCCTTGATAGAATTATTACATTGTGAAAGGGAAGCTGCCTTTTAATCCTAGAGCCAGTCCTTGTCCTTCCTCTGCCAACAGAACCCCTCTCAGACCCTACTAGCCCAAGCTGGATCTGTCCATAGTTGGGCCTTCCTGGCCCATATGGACCTTGAGGCACCCGTTGCCTTAAGGGCTTATTATGTGGTTCCAAACTGCCCCTTACACCATGCCTATGCTTCACAGGTGCTGTTTATCCTATTGGTTGCTTGTAAGGGTCTAGGCCCACTTGGCCTCTGCCCCTTTTCTCTTGCTGGGCTGCTTAGCTCAGGATCCACTAGATTGGACCTGGCTTCTGGGCCAGCCTTAGTTTTGCCTATTGGGCTCTGGTTCAGCCCGTCTTGGGCTTCAGGCTGCTGGCTCATTTCTGTCCCTCTGTGGTGCCTGGGTGTTGGGCCCTTGGCCTCTGTTTCTGGCCTTCTTGGGCACTGGGCCTTCTGGCCCTAGGTTCTGCCCCTCTTGGGCACCTGACTACTTCTTGACCCTGCCCTCAGCAGGGCTCAAGGCAATTGCATGCCCCTAGGGCACTAATGGGACCTCCAAACCAACCCCCCACAGTCCTTGCCACAGCCACCAGTGTTACATCCTGTTGTCTTGTAGCAGGGCTTCTCTTACTCAGGGGTAGCAGGACCAGTATCATGCTCACAGTCCTGAGCACGGCTCTGGGGTCAACCCAGCATCCCCCTGCAACCCTCCTGGCCAGGAGCTCATCATGCTGAGGCCTGCAGGGCTAGACTCCCTGGATTAGCTCAACCCTGGCTTCTATGCCCTCTCCAGATATAGTATGCTCAGAGTCTACCTTCCAAATGGATGGAGGGTTCTTCTATCTGGGACATTTTGCTCAAAGACTACAGCACTCAAAACAACAATCCTTTATCTTCAATAGGCTGATAACTGCATCATCCATGCATGCACTGAGGAAAACCACCAGACTGCACTGGATCTCTTTGCAGAATCCTTCCAAACGTTGGGCCCCTCTCTCAATATCAAGAAGACTAAAAGTGCTCTATATAAACCTGCTTGGGGTCATGAATGTGACCCCCTCCCCAAATTATCATGGAGAGAAAGACCCTGGAAGTACTTGAGCACTTCTCCTACCT